AGAGCCCTTTAGAAGATATCACGTAACTTGCTTCACACGATTGAAATTTTCAGTTTAGAAAATGTCACCAAACACCGTGGAACACAGTGCCTTTGACCAAATCAGCAAACATTCTACAAGGTTGGGCTGATTATTTAAGAAATACATTATTCAACCAATTATAATTTATCTCATCTAGGATGGTATAGAGCTTTTATGAAAGCGCTAATACAAAAAATATAAGTTGTACATTAGTATTGGCTGATGGTGAAAAGGGATTGGGTTTGAGTGTTTGGGGGAAGGGATGGCAAGGAAGGTGAACGATAGAGAAAGGGAGAGGCGAAGTTAGGAAGGATGATTAAGGTTTTAAGGACGACTAATCTGACGACAATAAAATCGGTGGAAAAGTCTCACCTCAGTTCCCACAAATGCCTCTGGATGGGAGGTTATGGCTGTGGCTTGGTGATGCCATCGGCATGATCAGACCCGTCGTGGTGGCAATTGCAGGGGGTTTCCCGCCTTCACAAAGCAGGATGTTGGCCCAAATAATCAATCACCAAAAAAGTAGTCACTTAATCGACTTCATAAATTAATCATCCCAATTTTGCTTTGTTGCATCATAATATCCAAGTACAGTTCGTGTTTGGTTTGCCAGTGTCGCCCAGCTCTAATTGTTTTGGTGACATTTCGGCTGTACAAAAATGATAATGCGGCTGGATGTAACGAGGTTTTCATGAAAGCTGCTGACAGGTTGATGAAGAAGACAGCCCTGTCCCAGGAGATGGTTGGTGGCTCAGGAGATGAACGCTGATGACCTTGAAAGAGAAATTAATCTCCAGCACAGAGGCCATGGGTTAGACCAGTGGTTCTTAACCTGGGTTCAGGGGTTCGGCGGAGGTTAAGACACACACCCGACTCATATGATTGTGCACCAGTAAAACATATACCTATGTTTTGAATTTGAAAAAATCATATTTTATTTTCCAATTAAGAAGGGTTCGGTGAATGCGCATATGAAACTGGTGGGGTTCAGTACCTCCAAAAAGGTTAAGAACCACTGGGTTAGACTCTTGGACTCACACCCAAGATTGTAACACATCAAAAAATGTCCAATCTAGGTACCAAGAAATACATAATACACACATCATAAAGTGCAGTATTTGCTATCACGTGATTTCATTTGAGCCTTTTCAGCTCTAAAAGCTTTATTTTTGGCAGTTGTGTGCCAAGAAAGCACTCTTATACATGTGTCGTGACTGACTTGGAGACGTACGTTCTTGGAGACAGTTCTTTTATTAAACACGGAGCACACTTTGTACAATACACACCATACACTTTTCGATTTAACGCTTTCGTGACTGCAGGGATTCATCTTCTTGGTTCTTTCGGTAAAGTCACGTAGAAGGGAAACAATAAAATAATACAAATAAAACAATAAAATACAATTTCACGACATTTCAGCCACAACGCAAGCAGCCGTCCTGTCGGAAAGACAGCGTCCATTCTTCTGGAACAGACTAGCGGGCTCTCGACGTGTCCCTTCCGTAACCTTTCCCCCATATCCCTCTCTGGTCTATCACGTGGCCTGCTGTCAGTCAGGGCTGCTACAAGCTGCAGATTCCCTTCCCTGCCAGCAGCCAGCGCTATGCTGCTAAGTGACCAATTCTATGTCACTACACGTGTATAGTTTACAATGCAGCCTCGTTGCTATGTAAATACATCTGCCAAACCCCTATGAAATCACTTCGAGGCACTTGTGATTTATGGTTTGAACATTGTAGCAAGATCTAGAATTCATAATGCTTCACTATAAACACAGATCGTACCAAATTAAGAAAACGCTTGTCATTTAAATGCTTTTGTAACAAACGTCAAACCCAAATGTATCTATGTTCAAATAAACACTCGGCCAGCACTCACCTATGTGGCTCTAAACCAAGTTTTTATTTTACCATATCACTCTTTTTCAGAAGCAACATGGCCACAAATGCTAGCTCAACGAGGTGGTCTAGCATGTGGAATTTTTGTTGCAGCCACTAAACACATTTTTCTAAATGTGAAGGGAAAAACTGTAGGACCCCAAGAAAAATTCACGCGACCACGGGGAGAACATGCAAACTCAAAATATACAGGTTTTAGGGTCAGGATTGAACCCAAATACTCCAGCATAGCAAGCAAGGGAATTAACTTATTGCCACCATGGCACCCCATAAATTCAACATTCCTATGTTGGAAGCCAGTCTCTCCATAGAAAGCCCATACATGTAAATTTATGTAAATAGTAAAGATACAGCCCTGTAATTGCTTGCTTGCGTATTCTGCTGCTATCAGAATGGCCTCCACAAGCAGAAGTTATAGACGTCCCTCTGGAGGGTATTTGGCCTACTCTTCCACCACAAGCTGGACGTGTTGGGCTCAACGCTTTACTCCACCACACATGTCCTTCCGATTGACGGTGGTATAACCATTTACACAGCTATAATATAATGTACTGATGAGAAATTATATTGGGTGAATTTCTAAACGTTATTAAATCTTGAAGCCAGCATCCAGGCCACAGTCCCATCAGCCTGCAATGCTGGCACACAAGGTATGGACCCCAACAGTGGCTCGCATCTTCAACACTTGTTAAATAAAATATATACATTTGAGATGAACATTTAAATATTTTATAATTGAATCGTACACATTCAAAACAATCCAAATGTGTTAACACATACATATGCCGACATTACAGTTAAGTCCACAGCTTTCAAATTAATATATTAATATATACTCGTCACACAATTACACGAACAAAGCTAATGAAATCATTCCAAATTTGCAACACGTGATAAAAAGCTAATTAAAAAATTCTGACTGACATGTGTAAATTACAAATGACCATGTTTGAAGAATGCAGTAATTTCACAAAAATCACTCAATGACAAAATAAAAACATTTCATCATTCGAGCCATTTGTTTAAACAAAGCAACCCTGATCTCGTTTCAACTTCACCAAGATTCGTAAGCGAGGAGAGGCCCCGTACACCAGTTCCACTGGGAATCTGACAGGCAACAGGAGCCAGCAAACAACAATGTGCCTTCCGAATGATAGTCGGGAGAATAAAAGCAAGTACCAATGCTCGTGTTACATTGAGCTATGTGACCTTCGGCATGGTTTGTAACACATCAAATGCTCTAGATGTTTCTGTTCTTGTGGTTTCTGTAGCAAGGACTACTTTCTGGATCACACGTTGCTCATGGATGGCTCGAGGCATCTTGATGCAAGATGCTATTATTTTACCAGGGAACCGAGCACCATTGCTTTAAAATGTGATCCACACAATTAGTAAGCTCCCTTTTAGTCGAGTCTCTGGTTTTCCAATTATAGTTAACACATGAAGGCGGATCGATTGATTGTTATCGGAAGAAAATATATAATGGAGCAACATTGGGCTGTCAACGGACTGGTTATTCTGTAAAGATACTTGGATTTCATGCACACATCTGGTGGAAGAAACACTGATCAATTCACTCAAATTACCTTCCAATTTCTCACTTGAAGCATATGAAATCACCATAAACTGGATAAGCCAAAATTAGCTTCGACAGGGAGGTCACAAATCATGGGGAAACTCAACATCCAGTGATAATCTAGAATCAATAAGACAAGTTAAGTGGAGGTGTTAGTAGTGCTTCAAGTTTATTCTACATCCCAATGAACAATATAATTAACAAGACAACAGAAGATTGAAATATTACTGTTTTATTGTATATTGTCTCCCACTTATAAAATAGGTTTCAAGATATAACACCACAATGTACAAAACAGCTTGCTAGATTCTGGATGTCAGTATGAAAGGACAATATGAATGTGAAACTAAAACACTCCCAATGTGCACAACACGTTTACGTGAACGTATGTGCGATTGAATTCATTGCTATCTTTATGATCAATATTTGCCAACTGCATATATCCTGGTAATACTATTGGAGTTATGAGTTTAAAAAATATGCTTACGTCCTTTGGCAGATTAAATTATCAGTGAAGTGTCATAAGATTAACCACACAACTATATCCAGAGTTTGCGTGTGTTGAACCACTGCTGCTGAAGTGAAGCACTCCCAGACGATGCGTGTGGCTTCCTGGTAGGAACCTCCTGGTTCCACCAGCCCACAGGGGATTATTGTGTCCGTCCGTGGGAGGGGTGGGGCTGGGTGGAGAGGGGAGGGTGGGGCTGGGTGGGGAGGGGCTGGTCACCCCGTGGTGCCCTTATAAAACTCAACGTTTAACGTACTCACGCCAGCTTGTGCCCGCCCTCACAGTCGGGCATATTTGCGGAAGACACCACGCCGCCGTTGACCCTGGCCATTGACCGAGCAACCCAACGTTCCTACCAGCTCCCTCCGCAGGAATGTGTTTAAACTTTGTATGTGTGAAGGCAGTCTGACCATTTATTGCATCTCATAATCTGCACATTGTTGCTACTTTTTATTGAAACTATTGCCAGTCACCTTCCATAGGACCTTGCTTACACAACACGGGACGTTGCTCGCGGAGCTCAAATAGTGCTGTATCCGAAAACGTTTGCAGTCAGGAAACACGGAGGCATGGCACTCCAAGGGAAAATGGAGTATCATTTCTAAAGTGAGGTCATATCCAAAAGTGAGACGGTGGGCGAAGGCGACTGCAGGCTGGATTAACCCCAAGGGATGATGGGGTCAGGTTTAGTTTGGGGTCTAATTGGCTATTGGGATGCACCTCCAACGCGTCCCTCCTCCATAATGCCGAATGACCTTTTCACATTTAATCTCAATTTTACTTTTGGGTATTATAAAAATGTGGCTTCTGGATAGAATACAGTATTGCCAGCAAAACTGGTTTTCTGTTGCGCAGGTTTTCGTGGTTGTGCCGTATAGCTTTCCCAAAGTGTGTTCAGGGTTTTACCATGATATGCATTGCCCAACGTTGCGCTCCATATGCTGGAAGCTTTTTTACCCGGCAGACATCATGCCAAGCAACACAACTCGAAGACATATCGGAGAGGTTTCCAGTTTATTTATTTGGATTGAGCGGTCTCAGTGTACTGCACATCGCAAACAGCCAAATCCTGAGGGTACTTGCTTTCTAAATGCGGGTGCATGGGGACACGAGAGAGTCTTTTGGCATTTATTGTCTGTGTAAAGAAGTCGTGATTTTTAGGATGCCTTTCTGAGCTGCAATAACAGCAACGTATGTACACATGTCATAAAGCAAACTTTCCACAATTTCCAACCCCTCCTCTTGTCTGCATGAATCTAATACATCAGCTACCCTCCCCTCTGAACCCATGTCAAGTTTGAAATATTGAATCTAACACCTCAGCATTTCAATAATCAATACCAATATGTGAAACGTATTATATTGTATATCACGCAGCAAACTTGTTTGGGAGCAGCAACTTTCTTTAAAAGCCATTCACTGTAATGTCTATCATCCTCAACATTTACAAATGTCACCAGTTTGAGCTGAGGCTAGGCTGAGGTGAGTGTTAAAACTGAATGTAGTAAGCTGACCTTGTCGAAACGACAAACCTACAACACTTGAAAAGCTGGCTGTCCAGATTCAAACCCAAAACCTCGAAGATGTACAACTTTGTGTTCTGGCTAAAGCAATAAACACAGAGCGCTTTGTCAAATTTGCCCCGTCTAATTGGTTGCCACGTTTGCCTTATTGGCACGACGTTAAAGGGCTAAACTCAACTTTCATTAGATTCGAAGCTTTCGTGACTGCAGGAATGACTCTTTGGCTCTTTCGGTAAAGTCACGTAGAAAATAAAATCAAATAATAATAGAATACGACGCTTCGGTTGCAACAAAAGCAACCATCATCAGTTATGAAAGATGATGGTTTGCTTTGTTGCAAACGAAACGTCGTATTCCATTATTAATTTTATACGTGACTTTACCGAAAGAACCAGTCAACTTTCATTTTTTTGAAGGTGTCTAGAACTGTACGTTGAATGCTTCCCCCCCCCCCTTGGTTAATTTTGTATTTCTCATTGACAATTTCCCTTTTTTGTTACGACTGACAAACTGATCATAAGAGCAAGTTTAGCTAAATATACAAATGAGAAGAAGTAGAAAATGTTGTAAACATATTGGCATGTTTTGTTAAATTGTTTACATTTTCAGAAACATACATAAAAGTAACAACTGACATCGCATTGACTACAAAGTGGACACGATAACAATGTGCTTTTGAAAATCAAGAGATGCATTGCCACTTTTAGATGTCCCGTTTGCCAGGGCGATGATCGATCGTTGTCCTTTTTTCAAACGGGTTCTTCATCCTCCAAGCTCAGCACAAAATCAAACTCTTCTGCAAAACAAACGTTCATAGATGTCGAACTTTAGCGATTGGACTACAAAAGATAATTAAATAGCTCCAAATACAAGTTAACTGCCCATGCCATTTTTTCCTTTATTATGTTGTTCGTACAAGTTGGGTTCGTACTCGATATTAACATATGTGCACACACAACGTCAAAGATTTACCCATATAGCGTGAGAGCATTGTTAAAACAAACTAGACCTCACCATCATTTTCAATATTTTAAAGGATAAAAAGAACATACTTAAAATACCCTTCACATGTACCAGATAACAGAAATGATTTGAATTGCCAAACCTGTCAAAACTGCCTTGGTGGCAAGTGTGCTGACCACACCATCCGCTGTCCAGTGCAAACATTACTCTTAACGCTCTCAAGCTGATGACAGTCGTGTCTGTCGAGGGTGGAGCATTGACATTGGATCGTTGTAACGCCAGACCTACAAGGTTATCTTTAAAAAACCTTGCATGGGATGTGCCTACAGCCATTGTCAGCATAAAAAAGACATGTTCCATGTAGTTACACGTTGTATGTTGATTCCTACGTTCTGTTAATTAGCGAGGCAAGCTTGGCTGCTGGACATACTGGAAAGGAAATCGCTTCAGCCAACAGAAGCTGTAATTAATTCCAAGCATGCTACATCATAGGTGAATGAATAAATAATCACATTCTGTGAACAGATTTTGAGCCTGGGTTATGAAACGTACACACGCACTCAAACATTATATCCATAAGGAAAGAGTTTGTTCTTAAATATCCCTCACACAAAGAAGTTCAGGTTGCTTAAGAAAACAATGGTCATGTCAGAGCACGGAGCTGGCAATGCTAAGAGTCCTCATATGGAATCCCAGGTCGTCATCAATAAACACATTCCTGCGGAGGTAGCTGGTAGGAACGTTGGGTTGCTCGGTCAATGGCCAGGGTCAACGACGGCGTGGTGTATTCCGCAAATATGGCCGACTGTGAGGGCGGGCACAAGCCCGCGCGAGTAGGTTAAACGTTGAGTTTTAAAAGAGCACCACGAGGTGACCAGCCCCTCCTCACCCAGCCCCACCTCTCCCACCCCCCACCCAGCCCCACCCTCCCCACCCTCCCCTCTCCACCCGGCCCCACCCCTCACATTTTTGGATGCACGGCGGGCAGATACAATAATCCCATGTGGGCTGGTGTAACCAGGAGGTTCCTACCAGTAACAATACCAAATCAATTGTAGAGAGATGAGTGAGTTGGTGGTCTCAGCCTCAATATGAATGACTATGCGTAAATATGTATATGCTTTCCAACCACGGTTTAAAGCGTAAATACATTCCCTCTGATCATTTGTCTGTGGCATGCCATAATAATAAATACAAATATTAACATCAACATAAACCCTTACCCAAACCAGGTGCAAATCCGAGTCTACATCAAAATACTTACATAACCGATGCGATCTCCATGATAATGAATATGCGACCACACAGGACATCCATCGAGGATTGATGAGTACCAGTTTTTAAGAGCGTACTATGTAAGAGCTACGCAAGCGCTGTGCGTGACAGCATCTTATGTTTGCAACAATAACAGCAGTGTCATGAACAGTGCAAGAGCGCCCCCACATGCATTTCCTCATAATAGCACTACAATAAAGCTTTTAAGCATCCAGCACCCACCACTGATCCACCACTTTCCAAAGAACGAACAGTTTGATTAGAAATGCTGTATGTCACTGTACTTTAAGGTGCAAAATTAACGAGAAAATTATTCGATAAATGTAAACTACAGAGGCGGAAACAATTAAGTCCACCACCTACGTAGATGATGAGAATCACTCTGGAGGTGTGTGCAAGTGTCGATGGTCTGTGACGTCCCGAACAAAAACTATTTCAAGATGCGACGTAGAATACAGTTGGCTTCAGACTTCATAGAAGGCAATGGGCCTTGCTTAATTGTGTTCGAAGAATAAATGGCAAGGATGGCTATCCTTCACAAATAGTTGAATATGAAGGTTGTCCTATTACGAATGTGATAAAGTGCAATCTGTCCATCGCATATACGACCACTGCCCATTATACACTTACACAGGAGATAAGATTGCTGTACATGAAGCTACACCTGATGCCATTCAATGGATTATCAAACTCAAAATGCAGTTTTGTTTTGTCAATTGCATTTCAAAAGCCGTACGAAAAAGCGTATCCGGCGGTGTAAGCGTCAAGGTCGGGGTTAGAGGACGGCTCACCCTTTGTGAGCGGCTGCACCGAGAGGCGAGCGCTTGTGAACAGGGCGACGGAGCGGAGCGGACCGCCCTCCGACGCGTGCTTCAGGTGCCACTCCTTCAGCTCGGCCAGCGGCAGGAAGCGCTTGGTCCTCCTCTCAAACTGCACGTCCACCTGCGGGCAGCCCACGCGCACCCTCGTTCCTAACTCTCAGCTCAAGCTAAACTATAAACTAAACTTATTTTTATTTTCTCAGTAAGGCTGACTGAGCTATGTAGCTCTAATTCAGAAGTGACCTGGCCACAAACGATAGCTCAACGAAGTGGCTTATCACGTGGAAATGTATAGCAGCCAAATACTCTAAATGCATGTTTCTAAACGTGGAGGGTTAAAACCGGATGACTCGGAGAAAAATCCACGCGACCATGAGGAAAACATGCAAACTCCAAATATACAGGCGTGAGGGTCGATAGAGTCAACAGTTTCAGTTTTCAGTTTCATTTATTTGGTATAACCCTGTGAGCCATGCGGATATTGACTCGGGTGCAACCGCAACAAAACAAAAACATGAACACGAAACATCTTACTGTGACTACACGCAACAGAAAAATCCAGGAAGAAACAGCGGTCTTCCAGAAAAAACACCGCATTTCAACGATGTGTGCAAAAATCCCAGTGGGATGCAAGTCAAACAATAACAACCATAAGACAATGTAGATTCAAGTTATCAGGCTAACTCTGGACTACAACAAACAAATATGGCTAAACCAAAACGTTTTCAAAATCACCTAAATAAAGCTATAAAACAATGTAACAGTGATCATAGGAACTGTGATTCAAATGTAACAATAAACGAAATACTATGAGAACCTCATTTGCCAGTAAAAATATGATAATTGGTTTTTTACCCTTCTATCCGGCAACACCCGAGACAGCTGTCTCAAGGACAGTGCACATTATCAGAGTTATGTCTTTTGTTTGTATTATGACTGCAGGTATTGCGGTCTATGCAAACACGACTCCTTGTAAAAAGGTGTCAGTTTTGTTGCCAGATAGATGGGTAAAAAACCAATTATAATAAACGATATACATAACATGTACGACCAAACTTTGCAGCCATAGCAGGCTGCATGAGTCACTCCATAACAGCAGGAGTATCAGGAGCAGAATCAACATTTTCAATACACCTTTAAAGATCAGCACACTATAATCAAAACTCAAGATCATACTTTGCAGCGGTCATCCGGAATGATACATTTGAATTCAGGCCATTTTGAATAGTGGCAGCTAGGGGTGTACAACTCCTCAAGAGCAGTTTTGAGTGAAGATCTCACAGGTAGTGATCCAAGTTGCAGTTTATTGGTGATAGCATTCCAGACCCTGCGGGCAACAGTGGAGAGATGTTAACTACCTCGCATACCAGGCGAAGTAGTTAACATCTCGCCACTGTGGCGCCCAAAATATCCAACCTGTGACTCCCAACCTTAAAAAAATAAAATTCACAAAATGCTTCCTCCTTCACTTTACCTGTCCCTCCCCATAAAATAGCCCAAGTTTGCCAAATTAAAAAAAGTACCTGCAAATTACTCAATTGGAATTATACATAGCAACAATCACCACCTACTGTGAAACTACTGCAGACTGTCTGTGAAACATAGCGCCTTCGTGAAGGCCTTGCATTATAGTGGCGCGAATTACAAACGTAATAAAATATTCTTATTAAAAGTGATTACACATCCAATCAGCCACACAGCCAATCCATTGACTCAAGAGGAAGGGTTGGATTGTGCAGAATTGGTGAACATTTATAACATTTCATCTATTTACTGAGTGTCTGGACTCGTTTTAATGAGGATCCTACTTTCAGATGATCACAAAATAACTGAATTTATATTTATGCACGTACATGCAAAACAAAGTGGAGATAGTAAAACAAGCATTTCTCCACCACAATTAACTTTGAAATGCTTCACTGCAACAACGCAGTGTAGCAACATTAAACCATGACCTTTTGTGCAACAATTCTACAAATAAATTGAGGGTTCATTCAAAATCGTCGGTTAAATTATACTGTGTACAGCAGACCACTGTGATGCTCAAGTCTGGAAATGTGGTGACTTAACCCTTACCATGTCCCACTTGGGGCTGCTCTTCTTGCTGCTGTGGTCGTAATGTGCATCCTTGGGATCAAACTGGGTATGGTCTGTGTAGGCTTCCTTAACTATCTGTCGCAAAAAAATACAACACATCTTAGTTAGATACAAAGAGTGACCACATGTAGAAGTATGAAAAAGGCTGAACATAACAGAAGACTTAATGCAAACGGTAATGAGAAGGAAACAGCTTGTTTGGGTAGATATGCAGGATGGAGAACAGGAAAATAAAAATAAAACTGTAATGATGGGAATAATGGAGGGAACTGGAAGAAGAGGAAGACCCTGTCGAGGGTGGCTGGATGACAAGAGATTGGTGCCAGAGAGATGTGCATCGCCTCAGCAAGCTGGCACAGGATAGAGGTAAGTGGAAACAAGTGACAATAATTGCAGTGGACACCTCCAGGCGTTCTGCCCATGGAGTTTGATCACCTTCATGTACTGAACGAGATCAAATTCAGACTAGAGATCTGGAGGATTGTTTCGTCTCTATTTTATGTGACTGCGGTAAATCTTCGATGTGTTCATAAAGAAATAGGAGCGCGATGGGATGTTTAAGTCATCTGTATATTGTCTGTCGGCCTTAGACATTCGTGGAAGGCGCCTTACAAAAATTTGTATATTATTATTAGTTTTCTCGGAAGGAATGGAACAAAACTAGGGGAGTGCTTTGCTGAGCAGTGGGAAGTTGTCGGCTGAAAACCACAATAAGTCTGCCTTTCGCCTGGATAAAAAGTATGGTGAAGAAAAAAGGTATGTATTTATGTTGAACTTCTTTCGCACCGTGCGTAGCCAACTATGCTAATCGGAGGTGCGGGGGAAGAACAAACTAAACAGAAAAAACTGTTCTAAAGAAATGAGATTTCGAAACGGAAGACATTACAAGGAAGTAACATTATTGGACTAGCAGAGGAATAACCTCCTAGTGGGCAAGCTGAATGGGAAAACGGTGAGAAGGTATCAGAGAAAAACATCTTTAGGTACTGTTGTGTAAAATTAAAATGAACATACCTTGACCAATCCAGCAATGCCTGGTACTTTGCAGTTGCTATGGTAAAAAAAAGCCATTTGCCCAGTCTTCATTGCCCGCATAAAATTACGTGCCTAAAAGAAACACAGCACGAATTGTGGAAGGACCACTGCAAAACTCAGCCCTGTAAAATCCCCATAATTCAGATGCTGCTCCATCGATTCTCAAGTCCTGCACTCATGCCCAACCCGAAGGAAATTATTTCACAATCACCAGCATCCATCTCACCTTTGATCATGGCCTTGTGTACATTCCCTCTCCCTGGGTACCTTCCCTTGTGCCCTATCTAAGCCCATTTAATTTATTTCAAATGCATGCACCTAAAATTCCCACAGTGAAATTGTGTGAATGTCACTGTGGGCCACCGACCTGCTGGGTTTAGATGTAGCCAATGGATAGCAGTGCAGCAAATATGTTACTGGCCAATGTGTTTTGAATTTGAAACATTATTCCCTTTTACATGTGTATTTTCTCTAGCAACTGGTTTAATCCCTCGTGCAAAATCCACATCATGGAATTGGCCCTGCCTTCCAATGCTGAACCCTACTGTTTGCAGTCATGAGACTCGGTGCGGTTTTCAGAAATATAGATAAGACTCTTGTATTTACATTTAATGAGGGAAAACACAAATGCACCAATTTTGCACGTACATTCACAATGCAAAGTGTGAGTTCCCCGGTTGGAACTTCACTTATTGGAACTGCCCACAACAAACAATGCACTCCAACGTTGCAATTATTTGGTAACATTTTCGCCCTGGCTTTATCTGCTAGAAGATAATAGATCCCAGAGCTGCTCAACGCAAGGGTGTGACTTGATTTTTATTGAACGTGAATCCCCTCTGTGATGGCTGCTCAATAGCAGCACCTGCAGCAACTCAGATGCTCCAGCAGCCCAAGTCCATTCTCAATTCTGGGAGGGATTACAGTGTAATGGAAAGAGAATTGAAAGAGTTAGCTGGTCTGGTGGCAGGTGCTTTTTTGAAGCTCCACAAATTGAGCCCAGTGATGGATCCCTTCGCTGTTTGCTTTAACGCGTCAGGATGAAAAGGCCACCTTGAAAGAAGAATCGGAGTGCAGGAGAAGTAAAAGGCATTGTCTTTTAGCCCATGTCCTTTGATTTGGTCAAACTGAATACAAGCTGAGCAATACAGGCCAATGGATTACCTTGTTACCATGTAAAGCATATTGTAGATGTTGTCTTGCCTCTGTTTATATCAGATATTTGTCCTGATATTGCATCAGTTAATTTTACCAAACAAATCAGTCAATTGGAATAATTAATACAGATCATTCACTTTTAACAATAGATGAAAATTATGATGTCCTCTTACATCGACAGAGTTTTGCATTTCTGAATATATACACAAATATAATTTGACTAACATCTGCTCACACGGATGCACACAAAACAGAAATGCTCTTTGTCGACATAAGACATTGGTGGGAGTCGATGATGTACCTGGTAGTTTCGCACTCCATCCCAACATGACATCCGGTTTGGCAGGGCTGCCAGATCTTCAATGCCAAACTACAAAGGAACAGAGAAAAAAAATAGAACGTTCCAAGTTTAGTATTATTTCTAATTTTCAAAACACACACATGGACAAGCACGCAGGCAGGCAGTGTCAAAATGAACTTTCACTGCTCTTTGAAACAGCAAGCCCATATGCTGTGGCGGCAATGTACGTTTTAATTCCTTTGGACACGAAAAAGTAGTAATGAGGCCTTCAGCTTAAAGGACATTTCAAAACAATCAGTCCCTCCTGCTGCGTTTCATTTCACACAATGTTATACCGGACAAAGCCATTACATCCACAGAAATTGTATTTTTTGCTGCTTTTACTGGCTCACAGAACACTGCCATTTCACTTGCAAAAGAGACTGAAACTATGCCACTCTTGGCATTTACTTGTGTTCTTCTGTAGGGATAACACTTCCCATGTTTAGCTTTATTGAGATGATGGTTGTCATGCGAGCTGGAATGGTGGCTGTGGTGGTGATTATGGTGATGGTGGTAGCGATGATTCTGGTGAAGTATGATGGTGGTCATGATGATGATTATAATGGTGATGAAGATAATGAACTTGATATTTATAAGCAGTTGTTATGGGTAAAAGCGAAATGTATAAATCTCATCTCTATTTTGCGACACGAAGGTGCAAATGTGTTCTTGTCGCGCAGCAAGGAAACTCACTTTCTGGCCTCTCTACGCAACAATATATTCTAGGGACCCGTTTCACCGAGGCTCTGGACGACAGTGCCGATGACCGACAGCAACATTCACCTTCATGTCTACTCCATTCTCGAAGCGGCTCTCTGGCTCGGACTTCATCAGCCAGCATGTGTACGGCTCCCGGGGTCCCTTGGTTGACCCTGATGACTTCTTGGCAGCAGCAGCAGACTTCTTGGTGGCAGCAGCAGCCGCATCAGCCGCATCAGCCTTGTGCGAGCGGTCAGTCTGCTGCCCTCCATCCTCAGGGCTTCTCCTCCGCTCCTCCTCAGACACACGGGCAGACTTCCTCTTCGGTTCAAGCCTCTGCTGCACAGTGGCCAGATGCACAAGTGCTGCACTAACGCAACTCCTCTGCAGCCTGCCTTGCTCCAAGAGCTTCTTCCTACCCCGCAGATAAAGAAAGTTAATCCACGATGCCATTATTGACGGCAGCTCACGTCCACCGTGCTGTGCACAGTAAAGGGTACAGGCGCAGCCCTGCAATGCCCTGTATATGTACGACCCACCAATACTGGACATCAGTGAACAAGAGCTTCATAGCTCATCGGATTCATCCAACCTAAATAAAGATTATATATGTTGAACTTCTTTCGTTCCGTACGCAGCCAACCATGCTAATAGGACAACTAAACACTATTGGTGCAAGGGCCTCTCGAGGGAGCTCTAGAGGGTATTTGGCCTACTTTTCCACGCTGTTCGGACGTCTTGGAAGAGGTGGGATCACCCACACTTTAACAGCGGTGGCGGGTGGTGATAGATGGGGTGCTGGATCACGACTCCCGTCGTTTAACCTGCCGTGCCGGGAGATCGAATCGACCCCGAGGGCATTTGGCTTGCAAACCCGGAGTGCTCAACACCATTATACCACGCAGGGCGGCATGTTCGCATACAAATCTTGACTTAAAGCTTTCGTGACTGCAGGGATTCATATTATTTGGGTCAATTCGGTAAAGTCGCGTAGATAGGTTCAAAGAAAATAACAAAAATAACATTCGTCACGGAGCTTTAAGTGTAAAAAATAACATAACAAAAGTTTGTTTTATTTTCTTTCAACCTATCTACGTGACTTTACCGGAAGACCCAAGAATATGCTCATAAACATTATAGAAAGATAGCGGGGCACACACGAATGCCGTGCACTGGGTGGTCCAGATGTCTTGTGACACCCCCCCAATTAATCGACCCCCGAACATGTTTTCATTTGCATGTTTTAAATAAGCCTTACTAAAATATAGTTTTTTACATTTTTAGGCAACTTAGATAGTTTTAGATAACTAAATGGCTGGGGGGGGGGGGGGTCACAAGACATCTGGACCCCCCCCCGCGAAACCTACATCCCCCCCCCCCCCCGCGAAACCTACACCACCGAACCTGCAGGCGAAGCGCGCTTCCTGCGGGGAGCCATGCCGGTTACTGCAGACGACCACAGCCGGCCGCGTTAGCGACTTACGCCTGTTATATAATTCTCGTGTTAATGTCTAATTATGTTACTAATTGTTAACGTCGCTATTCTGATGATGCTGTTGGTATCGCATTCGCGCGCTTTCCCGCCATTATTCGCAATGGCCACGCCCGCTACGGCGGCCGCGATGTAATCGATTTACGAGTAAAAAACGCGTTTTTTATTTTCTCACCACTTCACATGATATAGGTAAAGTATGTACTACGTCACTACGGTATTCTTTTTTTCTTGTTTTTTTTCGGTAAAGTCGCGTAGAAGGGAAATTATAAAATAATAACAATAAAACATTATAAAAATAAAACATAATACAATCATACAAATATAATAAATAATAAAATCTAATTCTCACGACGTTTCGGCCACAACACAAGCAGCCGTCCTCAGGTGAAGACGACAGAGCTGTCTGAAAGACAGCGCTCCAATGAACACTGATATGTTCTAGATTTGAAGCTTTCGTGACGGCAAGGATTCATACTCTTAGGTTTTCTAGGTAAAGTCACGTAGGTAAAAGTAAAAAATAAAAAAATAGAAATAAAATATTAATAAAATAATAAAATAATTATTATTTTTACATACTTTCTTTCTATTACTATTTCTATTATTATAAATTTTTATTATTATTTCTTTTTACCTACGTGACTTTACCGAAAAAACCCAAGAGTATGAACACTGCTAAGCTTGGCAGCGTATTTTAATCTGGGTGGGAGGACAAGAGCGCCCTGACAAAGGAGTTTACATATCAACAGAAGAGTTTGGCATTGAATAAGCTGTGTTAATGTGAGAGAATTAGCAGGATGTCAAAGTCAGAAATTAGCATGTAACTGGGAGATTCGCATGATGTTAATGTGAGGAATTAGCATGTAACTGGTCACGGAAGTGGCTATGTTAAAGTCAGAGTTTACATATCAACAGAGGCATTAGTATATTGACGCTAAAGAACTGAAATATGTACGGTATTGCCAGAGCTAACGAACCACACACAGTGCCATAAAGGTTGTCACTGGCGAGGTTTTTGCAGTTTATTGTGACAGTGGCCTTACGAAATGCGCAATGTTACCTCAGAAAATGTGTTTGTTACGTCGAGTCTTGCATTTAAAAAAATCCCATCATATAATTCTTTTTAATGAAAATGCAGCTAATGAACAAACTAGCAGTGACCAGTGTGGTGAAGTATGGTGAAATAAGCACCATGATCAACAACACGTTGTGGCAGGCCTCCATCCTGCCCAAGGGCTGTGAATGAGTTCACCTCCCTGACAATGGGGACCCAAAGTGGCATTGTTGAGAAATTAGATCAAATTTAAAAGTCTAGAAAGTCCCCTCCTTGCGAAAGATTATAGAATAACTGCATCTCAGCAAGCCTGCAACATTGTGAATGAACTCGTTAATTTGTGCAGTGGCCACATTCTTGCACCAGGTGGCAGCATTCTGCCGCGTAATTCGTGGAATTCTCGTTACCAAACATTTATTTCTATGCATTACAATGATTGGACTTTCATCGTCGTTTAAACCAACCTTTCAAAAGCGTTTCTTCTTTATGTCATCACCAATTGCACAGTACATGAATTACCCAGCAAATTATTCGAGTGTTAGCAAAACGAAATCTTGAGGTGAATAAGTGTCCGTCTGGGAGACTCAACTACAATCCATAGCCTCCTGACAAGTGTCAGGGAAGGGCCATGAAAGATTACACCATAAAAACACATTCCTGCGGAGGGAGCTGGTAGGAACGTTGGGTTGCTCGGTCAATTGCCTGCTGGGTCAACGGCGGCGTGGTGTATTCCGCAAATATACCCGACTGTGAGGGCGGCCACAAGCCGGCGTGAGTAGGTGAAACGTTGAGTTTTATAAGGGCACCACGGGGTGACCAGCCCCTCCCCACCCAGTCCCACCCCTCCCATCCCCCCACCCAGCCCCACCCTCCCCACCCCCCACCCAGCCCCACCCTCCCCACCCAGCCCCTCCGCACCCGCCCCACCCAGCCCCTCCCCACCCAGCCCCTCCCCTCCCCACCCAGCCCCTCCCACCCCTCTCCACCCAGCCCCACCCACCGCTCTCCACCCAGCCCCACCCCTCCCATTTTCGGATGCACGACGGACGGACAGAATAATCCCCTGTGGGCTGGTGTAACCAGGAGGTTACGACCAGTACTGCGATGCTCGTGGAGCCACTTGAATGTGACTTCTGATCGTCCTGCTAACAATGTCTCTCCACACCGTGTGTTAATCACCCCACAAAACAAAGTATGAACTTGACATGCCAGATTAGAATTAGGCCAAATTACAGCAAGTGAGACCCGAATTTAAGTGATGCGTGTTTGTAGTCTCTGGTGAAATGGTCCGAGATCACCAACTCGCTCCAGCTGAGGCTAATTGCCCAGATTTCATCCCAGGGGCTCAGTGGTGCTGGCACATTGCTCTGAAACAGGCAGAAGCCACCCCCATCTCGGGTTTGTGTAAGATGGAGGAGCGTCGTGGTTAACATTTAGGATTGATTCTTGAAATACTCAGACAAGTGATAATTGAAAATTGCTTTATTTCTACAAAACATTCACTACAAGCTTGTGTACGGCCAGCTGAACTTGTACATGAGGAAAATTAAGCCGGGCGACATTTAAAATACATAATTTCAATAACGAATTTCCTGTTTTTTTCATTCTTCTTTGGGGGATACATTATTTTAACCAGTATCTCAAAAGTTTCAGTGACTGCAAGGCCTACCAACATGCATTTGTCAACACACAATATCTTTGTGTGCCTGCTGAGATACCATATCTAATCACCACACCAATGACCGTTAATATGCATTAAACAAATCTCAATATAAAGCACAGACAAGTTAAGGGGAAAACAACACGTTGGTTAAAGAATAAAAACACGTGACTTCACACTGCACTTGCAATCACGACGCACGTGTGTGTTGCTAGAATTGTTATCGTATAAATAGCAATTATTGAAAACAAGAAACACGTGCCTTCACGGCCAGTCGAGATCCGTGGCTTGCCACAAGCTGCCTCAACCAAATGAAGATACAGATTTTTGTATTTGCTGCTTCGGTGAAGAAAGAAAAAAAATATTACATTTCACTTAAAGGAAAAGGAAGGTGTCACCATTTCGAGCTTTGGCATTAAACAAATTACGTACAGTACCGTGGTTTTGAATTTAGATTGAGTAGGTTCATAAACATACATACAAAGAATGGGATGACGTGTTAATGCTGCTGATACAGCACCAATTAAGAGTAGCGTGTGAGGTGGTGGGCTCAACCAACTTATAGTAATGACGTCCATCCCCAAAGGATACGTGGTTTTTGATGTGAGCATGTTTAAATATAATTGATTCCTGAAAGTGTTAGAATGTTAATAATTTTTAGGATAAGCATTTGCTTAAAAAGTCGCACTGTTTTAAGCGCACATGTACGACTCGGAATTCAGTAGAAAACCCCCAAAGACTCAAAAAGCCACGTAAAGATTCATTTGAATAATACATCACTATTATAGATGTCCCAAGCCACTTTAGGGTTTCGCTTACTCGCTAATTTCGGTCTGTTTCAGGCATAGTTTCGTTTTCCTGTCTGGTGACAATTTGTTTTGTTATTTGATCTGTTTATCTCACATGAATGGTCAGATTTCTTAACATTACCATCTATATATACAGAAGCACATCTTAAAATGTATTGTTTCATCTTATTTAGCGAAAATAAAAATACTTAATTTTCATCCACCACTTTTCAGTTATTGTTTAAAATATTTTGTAAAATTTCATACAATTATTTCGTGACTGCAGGAATCCATACTCTTTGGTTCTTTCAGTAAAGTCACGTAGGTAGAAAAAATATATATATAATATATCACGACGTTTCGGTCGCAACACAAGCGGTCGTCCTCAGGCGGAAAAAAATGTATCCAGCAGTGGAACTGCTGAACCGGTTGCTGGATTATTTTTTCTGCCTGAGGAAGACCACTTGTGTTGCGATCGAAACGTCGTGATATATTATTTTTTGTTTAATTTTATTTTTCTACCTACGTTACCAATGTAAAACATTTAAATATAAATACAGGAATACATCGATACGCAGATACATACATAAACAGTTGAAGATTGAACCCTCCATACATATTTCGTTTCTATTCCAGGTTAATTATTTCCAACAAATCACGATCCTGCCAACTTAAAACTACCAAATTAATGATTGGTCATTAATGCTTGTTAAACATATGATGATTTAGAATATATATTTAACTAATTAAGCATTTCTTATTTTTACAAATGACCAACATCTATCTCTCCATCTTCCTCTCCACGAACACACTGATAATATATTCACCACCCTCTCAACACATGCCCTCGAGTTTTGTACATCTTGAGACGTGGTTGCATATAGATGCTTTACCAATTTAAATTATATTATTTCAGGTGACAACAACAAACAACTCAAATGCATATCGACATCGCATGTCAGACTCAATGATTGCATGTCTTTATGTTGGGTGCCACCAATTAATCGCAACTTCTTGTAAAACGCCAAAAATGTCTGTCGTCAAAGCCAAAAAGATTGTTGGCTTTTTTGTTTTCCTGCCACGTACAGTACAGTACTTATTCTCTCTAGTGCTATCTTTTTCAAAAGATCAAGTGTAACCACGAGTCTCATTATTGTTGCCAAGTATAGGCTGGTATTGCAAAGGACTGTCTTAGGAGCTATTAGCCAAATTCTGCCGATAGCCAAATGCATCGTTATTAACGGTATTTCTCATCACTTTCCATTGCTACTCTAATCTCCATGGCAATCGATGTTTACAGCCATTGTTTCGAATAACACAAACATGTCATAATTATCACATGGTTCTTTACAGATTCAGAAATGTTGTAAAAACATTTCCGATTTTTTTTCACTTCCATACTTTGCAGCTGTCATTCTGTATTTCCTGAAAATCAAAAAGCCAGAAAAGCCAAAGGTTCAGCCCTATAATTGCTTTCTTATTCCACTGCTGACAGAATGGCATCCGCTAGAGGGAGCATTCGAAATCCCCTCTAGAGGGTGTTTGGCCTACTTATCCATCCTTCAAACTCGTTCAAAAAAACTATCCATTAAAAAATGTATTAACTATTAACCAACTGAAATCATATTGATGTTTGTCTTTTATCCGTCAGGACACTATTTATACGAGTCTTTAGTCAATTAACTGACGTCCACATATTTTATTTGAAACATTATCATGAACATATACTCAGATATTAATTTGTTCCAAAGCATTGTGGCATACATTTATGGAATTACATGAATCCAACAGTATACTAAAATTCTGTTTATGAAAATTATTACACCTCCAAATGTTTGGCATTTCCAATGTTATCACCACTTACTAATGAACTTAACCAATACTGTAATTGAAAATAAAATGTCAAGCAATATTTTTTGCTGAATAGCATATAGAGCGCAATGACTGTGGAATGAGGTAAATTTTACGATTAATTGTAAAATAGTTTCTTAGATATTTTATCAACAATTACTGTTTAAAATAATTAGAAAATCCCCTGACCATATTTTTGTACGCATATAAAGTAACATGAAAATAACTACGGAGTATACATATTCATTGTAATACACGTAATTACATTAATATTAATTATGACTGCAAAAAAACTCCTGTAAAATCAGGTGGCTAATTTGTTTATTTTGTGAATGTTCATGAATTCCACGGGGTGATGTGAGAGCAGCTGGGATTTCCCATAACATATGGCACAGCTGAAACCTTGCACGAGATAAAAAAAAGATACAGAACGAAGATCTGCAACCCTCGCGGGTTTTCTCCCCGCGGGATTTGTTTGCTGGTAGATTCCACCCAGCGCCTCTTTCAAGTTGCATCCTACTCATTGGAAAAGTCGGGTCACCCAGCCCAATCAGTGATTCAGCCGCACGCATGTCACAGCTCGTGAGTAGGTGGACAGCCTCGCCAGGGTTGTTAAACTATGTTTTTTCTTTAACCGGTAAAAAAAAAAACGATTACCGGTTTACCGCACATATAGAAATGTCCAGAAACAAATATTACGATTTCACCTTTGTAACCGAGAAACGAAGGGAGTTGCCATGGTGAAATGACGAGCATGCTTGACTTGCAACCCAGAGGTCGCTGGTTCTATTCCATCTCCCAGCAAGGCAATTGAATGAATGGCGCACGTGTCATGAATACCCCATCTCCGGTTCACCAGCAGCACAAATGAGTTCACCACAGTCGATCAGCAGGTTGCTTGCGGTGGATAAAAGTGTGAGTAAGCCCACCTTTTCCAAGATGTCTGGTCATCATTAAATCAGATCAATACCCTCTAAAGCTCCCTACGAGCAACCGAGCGATCGCAGGGTTCCACCTTTATCTTTTAAGTGAAAAACTAGCGAAAATGTTACCCAGTGGTGAATTGGGCTGCAGTGTTGTTTGTACATTCACGCGTGCCAATCGGTGCATTGAATATTCAACTTTCACTGAAACCCACTGCCGGTCCCTGACTTTCGGAACGGTTCATCGATTGTGAAATCGTTTACATTTAAAAACGATGATCTTAACCCTATAATAGATCTTAACCCTATACAATGCCATATCCACACTTTTTATTACTATGTTAAGCGTACAGCACAGTTCACAAAGATAACTTCCTCTATTTTTTTGGTTTCGTTTCAATTAATAATCACATGTTTGTTATTCAGAAATTCCTGAGGTCAATACCGTAAAGCGAGTATCATTGTGGGGATAGTCAATATGATCCTGTCATACAAATGTGGAGTTTACACCAGTGGCCCAGGTCCACCAAAAGAGCACAGACTGCTGGGGAAGGGAGACCATTTGACTTGACTCATAGAATACATTTTAGTATTTTCACTACTATTGCCTTGCTGAACATAGCTCTCTGATGTGTTTTCGGGTTGTGCCGCATGTTCTTGGGCAATCATGTCCGACGTTTCGCTCCACGTGTTGAGAGCTTCTTCTGGAATTGCATTTTCTTCTGGAATTGCATTTACTCACATCCCTGAAGAAGCTCCCAGGCTGTGGGGCGAAACGTCGGGACATCGCGCCGAACAACAGAAAGCACAACGGGGAGCCGAAACACACAGACGCGAAACCCCACGCAGGCAGCGTCAATCACCACTGTGGGGGGAGGTGCATCGGAATCATCCTCTTTACCGCCACTGCCAACGCAGTCCCTTGCAGGTTACATTTAACGGAGAGACAGAGTGGCAACGGTTGGAGGGGATGAACTCAAGTGGGACATCAGAGATGAGAAACGAAGAGTGAAGAGGGCTTTGTCCAACAGTGGACAGAGACTGGAGGAGGATGAGGAGGATGAGGAGGAGGCCGCTCAGGCTGCCCCCTGGCCTCCGTGGGGAGGAGCCCTCGCCTGGCAGGTTGGGCAGCTCCACCGCCGCTTCAGCCACCCGTGGATGCACTGCGGCACAGAGGCGCAGGGACCCACGCAAGGGACACAGACACGGCCTCACGCTGGGTAAAGGCCTGTGTCGGCACACATCTGTACCATCTCCACATATAAATACAAAGTACACGTTTTGATCCATCGGTTTATTTGCATTCTATAGAGGTCAATATTATTCGGAAGATTGTGTTTGAGCAAACTGCGTTTGTGTGTCCTACAACCTTCACTTTTAAAACAATCACTCAAGCCAGCAAACAGTACAAGGGATGCTAAACATCCATGATTCTAGCAGACACAGCACACAGCTCGATCACAAACCCGCTACCACTCGACACAGCCAATGAGTAAGGGGCCGTCCATAAATGACGTCAGGCACCTGGGGGGGGGGTGGGTGTGGGGGTCATACATTTGTGACGATGTGTGACGAGGGGGAGATGATGAGGGGGGGGGGGGGGTGAGAAATGTGACGTCACATGAAAATGCGCAACTTTAAATAAATATAGACAACACGTTCTAATTAATTAAATATACTTTTTTATATCAATTTTTCTCCTTCATCAGAGTGCAGCGCCACATTAAATACGCACTACAATGACAATAGTTTAAAGCTATTTGAAGCATGTTTTATTTTTTTAGGGGGGGGGGCAGAGCTTTGTGACGTCATATTTGAGGGGGGGTCTGACTTTGTGACGCCGTGTGACGAAGGGGGGGGGGGGTCAGAAACCGTCCAAAATCGCGTGACGTCATTTATGGACGGCCCCTAAGGTTTGTCACGTAAACAAAACATGCCAATTCGGGACTAGTTCAGCACACCGGTGTGTTGGAGAGTAAACCCACAGATTTCTGTGACGGCTCTCACACAAACCAGCCACTTCATCAATTGTTATTTACTTCACACGTGACATTGAGCCGAGCCTCATGCTGCCCAGCTGCTGCTCTCCCTCACCTTCCTGTGGAAGCGATGGCTGCACCAGATTTGCTGCACAGAGCCCGGGTGCATGACAGACTTGCACACGGAGCACACCTCCTCCATATCGTCCTAGACACAGCACAAAAGACAAAGATCCCCCGCATAGCCTTAACAGACTGTTGGGGCAAGTGCTGTTAAGCGAGCACCTACACGAGGGGGTGGGTGGCCAGCGCCACGCCCGAACCCCCTTCGTCTCCCCAGTGGCGATTTTGACACAACGCACCAGGTATACATTTGAGGTTGAGTCGACCTCGGGGAGGCCCAGGGCCGTTTCAGAGAATCGTCACTGGAGTCGGCCGTGAGCGGGATTCGAACTCGGATCGCTGGGTTCGTAGCGCAGAGGCCAACTGCGACACCGCTCCCCCCACAGACCCACACGCAGTCGCTCCCGTCACACAAAGCATCCTCCGTGCAGAACACGCTGAGATCAGCGAGTGTAACAAGAATTCGTCTGCAAGAGTCATGGGCCCAGGAAAAAAATATTTCTCACGGTCCCAATACGTGCACTTAATCATCTAAAAAGCAATATTTTCTGGTTTATACAAATTACTGTACATGCAAATTGATGCGCTGTATAGGCAAATATCACATTTAAGGTACTTTAGTAGAGTGCATGGGAAAATGCAAATGAGAGTAATATTCTTTGCATAACACTCAAACTGATATTTGAATTATCATAGATGAAAATTAACCATATTAAGTGTAGAATCAAATGATTGCCACTACATTTTTAATGCAATCGTTTAGCAAATACCCACATGTTTAGCCATTTAATTCACTGTGATGGGTAGCACTGAAGTGGGAAGCCAATACCAACCCTTGAGGACCTGCACACTTTGAGGACCCTGAAGTGAGCGAGGAAGATTGCGGACGATTCCTCGCACCCTGGATACTCTCTGTTCCAGCTACTCCCCTCCGGCAGAAGGCTGCGGTCCATCAAGACCAAAACCTCACGTCATAAAGACAGTTTTTTCCCATCTGCTGTTGGCCTCCTCAACAAGGCCAAGGGCTTACAATGACTTTTACACTTAAAATGACTGTTACACTTACTATAACATTTTATCTACATATAATTACACCGTTCCATACTTACAACGTGTACTCTTATTTGTATTTTTGTATTTTAAGATTGTTTAATACGGCTAATTAACATTTTACATTCGCATTTTATAAGGTCTACTTATTCATAATTTTAAAGATTTTAGCCCTTTGGTATTAATTATACTTTGTAACGTTAGTATAGTTAGAGTGTATACCTTTTATATAAGTTAAGATTCCTACTTGTTCAATGTATGCACCGTCCCGCCATAGTGAATTCCTTGTTTGTGCGAACTTACATGGCGATTAAAACCGTTTCTGATTCTGATTCTGGTTGTCATATGAAGAGACTGGGCCCTGACCATAAGAATGTGGAATTTCCATCACGAGCTCGGAGCCACAAACGGAGATGAAAATCATCCAAATGTCATCTTAGCAGGGAGTAACTGTGCCCCGTGGCTTGAATTGCCCGAGCCTCACTCTCCAGGGAAGGCAACGCACCATACGCGGCCACTTCCGACAGCAATGGCTCCACGTGGAGGCTCCACGTGGAGGCTCCACGTGGAGGCTCCACGTGGAGGCTACACGTGGAGGCCGCACGCCCAGCTCCGCTGGCCAGGCTCCAATATCGCTCCGAACCTCCTGAACCCCTCAGAAGAGCCGCGGTGCTGCATTACTCGATGTGACCTCTGGTGCATAGGGGTTTTTTTTTTCTCTTTCTAAGACCCAAAATTCAAAGTGGTTTCCCCCGTCGAGTTGAGTGAGCATGGGGCAGTGCTCATTGTCCGTTTTCAATCCCTGAGACTGTGTTGGGAATTCCACATTCCTATGGCTAGGGGGTGAGTTTTATAAGAGGACAACCACTGTTGAACTGCCCAATAAAGTGGTGCTTATTTTATTGACTCGAAAGAGCTAAAGAGTTGAGGTGATTCCTCGTTAGTAATATGAGGCCAGGGTAGATAAGCATTTAAGAATGATGGGTTTTCCATATATAACCTATTGCAAATCTTTCACTTTTGAGAATAAAATTACAATTTAAAAACAGTTGTGGGGTAGAGCAGTCACAAGGGAGCGAATTGCTGTTCCGTTACTATTGAGGGATTGTGGCTCAGCGTTCGTGGCTCACAATCAAAAGGTTGCCAGTTCAAATCCTGGTTGGGGTTCAGTCAGCCCATAATTCCTCTGGGGTCGATTAAACAGGCACTACTTTCTGGGGAAGTCAAAAGTGGTTGTCCGATGGATAAACTCGCCCCGCCACAGGAACATGGAAAATTTCCACCATCAGCTCAGGGCGGTAAACAGGAGATGGGCGCCAATGCCTCAATGCTCATTTGAGCCGGAAATAATTTTGACGTTGTTATTTTTTTTTTAAGCAACACTTACAAAGGACATCGACTTTTGCTCCACCAGCCAAACTTCTTCATGATGACGAGTTTCCAGGACTGCGGAGCTGGAGGGAGGCTGTGCTCTCCCGCCCTCAGGCGACACTCTGGAAGGGACCCCGCCGCCTCGTCTGGGGCCACACACGCGGAGGCCTTGCGGGGAGCAGCAGCGGTCGGGCGGCGACTCCGACGGTGACGCCGCCCGTGTCACCGGGCCCGCACGAACGCCCGACGCCCGTTCACTCTGTGACAGAGCTCCCCGCGCCGGTTGTTCCAAGAGGCTCGAGACGCTGTTCCGCTTGGAGATGGGGAGCCTTTGTGGCTTGGAACGCAGCGACGCAGCGTCTTGCCCGCTCCGTAGCCCCGAGGGTTGCGATGGGCCTCTGCTCGCTAACCACGACGCCCGACCCTCGTGCTCTTTTGCTGCAAAGCCTGGAGAGGCCCTGCGATGCGGGGTGAAACGTGTGGGTGAAGAGCTTCTGACTGCAGCCGGGTAGCGTCGAAGAGGCTTGTGGGGATGGAGTCCTGAGACGCTCCTCCTGGGCCGGATGTGAGAAAATCTGCTGGGCATTTTCAGAGACCCTGCGGCGATGCCCATGAGGCAACTTGGACTGCGAGACCTGAGGGCGGGAACAATAACAGAATTCAATGCGTAGGTTTTTGCAGCCAATAGTATGGCTCATTATTGATTTCTGGGTTAAGCTACGTAATGGTCTGGCCAAATTTGTGCTGGAAGACCCTTCACCACCCAACATAGTCGAACAAATAAAAATTGTCACGTATACAAGCCATAAAGGCGCCAAATATAATTGTTGATTCTCATCGGTAAGTTGAATAACAATCCCTCACAACCGAATTTAGCAATTACATTTGCGACGTTTCACTTGAAACTGTGTCAATCATCTTCAGGACAAGATTCTAGGAAGTCAGGGTAAAATCAAGGGCGTCACAAATGTGGCCATATCATCGCGTGGCTGGAGGCAGCGGTCTTCTCTGCTGCTCCTGACGCGGCTGTCTGGGCTTGACCACTTGGATGTGACACATTGTAGTGGTTGCTCTGCATCTACATCGGCCGTGCGAAAGAAGAAGATGATGTGTCCCCCGCCAAAAATCGATTACGAATGATAACAGAATTAACATTCGCTTGCATAAACATTTCTCATTTTGTTACAAGCAGAGTTCATGATGCTTGCGAGTTTTAACACGAGCTTATATTGTGCAGGACATTCATAGCGCATGGTTGTGTGGTCAGCAGTCTAAGCAGTGTTGTCTGCTAGTGTGTCTATGCACGTACACTCTGTGTACAGGGTGATCCATTTATTTTAAAAAAAAACTCACAAAAAATAGGGATAAATTATAGTAAAAACTAAATGTTACATGTCTTCCACCAAACTCCATGCACTTATTAAATCTTGCAACACTCTCCTGATACACTTTGTCCAACATAGCCACCCTGGTCCTAATAGCGGAGACCGTGTAGAGTGAATCAGCACACAATGGCAACGCGAATGAAAGACTTCCCCTCTTTCGTTCGCTGCTCTCTCCTCGGCTCTCTAGACACCGGAGCAGTATGACTGGTTTAGCGGGAAGGAGGTCGCATTGTTTGATTGCACATGCTGAGATACACACCCCACAAACCGCTGATGCTTTTTTGCAGTATTTATCTATTTTGCTCAATGTCACCCTCATCGTGCATCGTGTCACCGAGACGAAGCATCCTCCACGCAGCTCTCTCGCCCACGGAAGTAGATATGGCAGAGTTACCGCTGAGATCTCTTACAGTGACCCCCTAGACCGCACGGTAGGGGGCAACGCTTCCCCACCTGCCTTGCCAACAACCGTGATGTCCATCGCATGACAGTCAAACTAATTTGTTTAATATTCAGAGCTGTTATTTTATAGCTAAAAAAAGCCCAGCTCAGGGGACTCAACTATAATAGGCAGGACATTTGATGAAGCTAAGAAATAAAGATGTACATTTTAAATATGTATGCATCAACATCATCAAATATTATAATCTACCCACTTCTGGACGAAAGCCTTCCCACGCCTTCACCATCATCGTCATCCCTCATGATGCCATCCAGCTCGCTCCCGCAGATGAGCCGATCTCATCACCTCATCGCTCTTGGACGGGTTCTCTCCTTTGCCTGCCATTCGGTCACAGGTCTCGTCCTGTCGTCATCATCCACCCCATCTCGGGATGTGTACTGCTGTCAGCACGATGTCTCTGCTGAGCGTTTGTTCCCTGATTCATGTGGCCGTTTTTTTACTTCTCTCCCTCGCTTTTAATTCCAAGCACGTAAGCAGCATCATCGCAAAGATGACTAACTTCAACGTAAGAGTGACCGACGTCTGAATTTACAAGATTATAAAATCATACCAAGAAACCTTACGTTTCGAAAAAAATAAGGTATAAATAATAAGCTTTTTTTTTCAACAAGACAACATTTTTCACGTAAACCTCTGAACCACCAGTTTCCCATAAATGAAATATGATTACTCTGTATAACCCTGATATATTCACCAGACATTATCTCGGATAAAAAAATAATCAAACAGGCGTAGTGTGTAAACGCAATAAATACAGTCTATGAATTTACTCATGCATCATTGTTAGCGTTTGAATACAAGTGCCATTTAAATATAATCCCAAAACAAGATATCATTGGATCTTAAAGCAATATATTATTGTACTTTAAGGCGCCAGGGACGCAATGAAACATTTCAGCTAAGTCCAGGTGACTGCATGTTTCCTTCAGCGCAGTCACAAAATTTCCCAAAACATACATTGTCGTTTATGCGCAATCAGCACCTGCTTTTACTATCAAACAAAGACACGGGCCAAGTGTGAAACCTGCACGCAATACATTGTGTAAATATAGCAGCAATATCAGTTTATCTTCATGCAAAAGGGTAGAAGTAATACATTAAATTAAAAGAGAAAATATTTTTAAAAAATCCATATGAAAACCCAAACTCCGTGCTTTTCTATTCATGGGTGCTACCAGGACACATTTAAAACATATTCAGAACCCTCCCTCCCTTTCCCTCCCTCCCCACCGCTTCCATACCCCCTTCACCACTTGAGGTGCGTTGTCTTCCCCCCCTCACCCTTCCCTCCCCATGTAAACTGGCATGTTCTTTCTCGTAGCCACCAACGTGGGTGGAGCGGAGAGCCCAAATCTCCCTCCTCATGACGCTTCTCGCTCGGACTGTTGCCTGCGGAGTTTCTGTCCCCCCCGACCCCTCGTGCTGTGATCGGTGCTTTGTACTGGGCTTGCGTTGTTTCGTAATGAAACAATAAAAAAAACATTATTGGAACCTCATTTGCCAGAAGAAAAAATATGCTAATTGGTTTTTTACCCTTTTATCTGGCAACAAAACTGACACCTTTTTTTTACAAGGAGTCATGTTTGCATAGACCACAATACCTGCAGTCGTAATGCAAACAAAAAACATAACTCTGATAATGTAGGCACTGTCCTTGAAGTTGATTGGTCCACACCCGAGACAGCTTTCCTTAGAGCCTAGTCTCACATGGTGTTGGACCAGATGACACCAAAAGGTGTTGGACCAGATGACGCCAAAAGGTGCGCCTTTTGGCGTCATCTGGTCCAACACCATGTGAGACTAGGCTCTAAGGAAAGCTATCTCGGGTGTGGACCAATCAACTTCAAGGACAATGCATACATTATCAGAGTTGTGTTTTTTGTTTGCATTCCGACTGCAGGTATTGTGGTCTATGCAAACATGACTCCTTGTAAAAAAAGGTGTCAGTTTTGTTGCCAGATAAAAGGGTAAAAAACCAATTATAATACAAAACATATTCACAACCCATTGCACACAAAAGAAACTCATGATGAACCAAAAGCTGGGACACCGATAGAGCACAACTGCTCTGACAGTCTGCTCGAAGGCGAGTGAACAAATATCCTGGAAATTAGTTGTGCGCGTGGGTGTAAGTTTTGAGGTTGTACAGATGCCTTTTTGCGTGCACCTGTTGGAACCGCATAACAGCAGCATTGCCAAGTTGTTTAAGTGTTTTAAAAGTGGTGTTTCTGAAATTCGCTCAATGAGCCTAGCTGCTGTTTTCTATCCACGTGAATAGTCTGCCCGTCATTGATGTCACAGGCTTAATCGTAGAGCTCACCAATCTTGCCCCATATTTAATCCAATTGTGCTTATTCATTATCATGAAAACTGGATATAAATTTCAGCCAATGAGAATCCCAATCGAATACAAAACACGTGGACAAGAAGACGAATATATAAGTCTACCAAAGCGTCAAATTCCATGAGCCCAGACCAGACCTATCACCTGTCTCTACCACCTGGGGGGCCAATGATTGTCGTGGCTCCAATTACTTAAAGTAGACAACAATCGTGAATTACGTGAAAACCATTTGAAATGAGTGGGTTATCAGCTAAATGACTCTCGTTTTGGGTACTATGGCTAAAATAACTCACAATATTCTGCACGGGCAGTCTAGAATTCCATAACAGAGGGCAGGCGACCATGGGACAAGTGACGGGGCTTTTGCTGAGGAGCCATGACGTCACAGCGTTAGCTCAGACGTTTCGAGACGACTGTAATTGATTTAAAAGCAGTAGTAGCCAATATACCCAGATGGCAGTCTCGTGAAATCATTATAAGTATTACTATTATTTTATTTAGCAGCATTCACTCGAAACTGATTCTCAAAACGCTGGACATTGCGAACCACATTTTTTCCATAAAAAAGAGAGATGAGAACACCACAGGAGCACAACACAAGAGCAGGGAAGGGCACGGAGCTAAACAGGCGATAGTGGCCTCAATTAGTGTCGCTATTAAGGCCATCATCCTGCCATCGAATAATCAGGGAGGCATCAAATAATTAGAGAGTGGAGCGGCGTCCGATAGAGACGCTCGGGGCACGGGGCGTCACTTCCTGCTTCTCGACACGAAGGGTCACTCTCAATTCCCTTGGCTGGCATTGAGCTCTGCAGCGCAGGTTGAATTTAAATGTCTCTTATGTGGAAACATCAACAACAGCAGCAACAACAGCCGCCGTTCGCCACTCGGTGGCGGCGACGTCACCACGGCGCCTGTGCCAGGCCAGGTGCACTTTGAGGCCACGTGAAGTGTCGAAGGCTCGCTGGCAGGAGGAGGTCACGGAACAGAACCAGGGTTGACTGACTGAAAGAGATGACGGGCAGATGCACCAATTGTGTTTCCCACTGACTGTGCCAACTTTCCACGAGCACGGCTACACAGGTACGCGTGCCAACACCGCCACCTGTTGGTTCACTGCAATTTCCTCGTGTCTGGGCAACGGTTGCGGTTTAGGCAGCGCCAGTGTCTCTAAAATATCACCTCCGATAAAATCTCTGGGCTCGTGTCCCTGTGCACATTCAGAGCTGTGGGAATTCCCGAGTGGCCGCATTTGCTTTCTGTGAACTCAGCCGCTCGGTGAAACTCACAAGCTGGGTGTTTGTCGCTGTCGTTTCTGGTAAGCTGCTGAAGGTGGGCAAGAGAAAACCCCACTCCCACACAACAAGCGAAATGTTGGCACTCGCTCTCTCGCTGGCACGCCGGGAAGAAGAGTGCCCGGGGGGGGGGGGGGGGGGCTGGGAG